GTAGACGGAATGAGACCACCAAGTAACGTTTGACTTAGACCGTCTGTTATAGAGAGGTTTATTATGGGATGAATTTTGCTTTAAGTATGGCCATTTATTAAGACAATGAAAAACAAAATTAAAGCGTCTAAAATTTAGAACCGACTCAGATACATAACAACATTATCTCAGACGGAAAAAGTGATGGAACACCTGCCATGCCCTGGTGTCAAATAGAGATTCGAAAAGAGAAGAAAAGGAAGGACAAGTTTCTCAAGTAAAGAGGCGACGTGGCTTGCTTTCGTGACTAAAAAATCAACATGATTAATTTTCCCAGGTGACAAGAACGCCTTCTCACTGGTAGCTGGAGAAAATACAGCACAGACCCCTCTGCGGTCTTTTGTTTTTCAAGTTTTTGTAATTACTACAGTAGTAGGTGAACATACATTGAACAAGTGAGTTTACAGCCGTTTTTATGGCGGGCACGAACCTCTTCACCATACCTTGCCTGTAAATCTAGCGACTATGCCTAGCTATTTCTTCGTTAGTTTTTAACAAATCACCTCTTCACTTGGCAACTTCACTGATTTTAAGGCGTTCTTTACAGAGGCGTTAACAGATTTTTGCATGGTTTCAGTCATGATCAAAAGTTGAAAAAAAAATCCATGAAACGGTCTGTTGATCAGTCACCACAAGTTTACTATTTCGATGTTCAGGAATAAATTTCATTCACGCCAAGACATCCGTCATTAGTTCAGTTTGCTTTTCCAAGATTTAAAACAATATTAAAGAGAAGGTGACGAGATCCCTTAAGAGCTTTAATTTTCTGGGTTATGAATGTAGCATTGATATTTTGACTAACAGTCAATAAGCGTTGGAAGACGTTGATCGTTTACAACCAAAAGCTAACTCCTGGACGTGCAAATATCAAATCCATACCTTCACCCTCACCACGGTCTTCGAAGAGGAAAGAGGCCGTTACACCTCCCTTTTGGCGGTACACGTGCCACAAGTCGACCTCACGAATTCACGAGGCTTCACGAGGAGAATTAGATGAGTGGAGCGAGCCCCCTGAGCATTGGGATATTTGACATGATTATGGAGTTTTGATACCAGGTTTCGTGTGCTATACTAACGGTGTTCTCTATTAACAGCGACTGCAATAAGCGTTGACAGACTTCTCGCCTTGTTGCTGGGTCTCAGATACAGACAAGTTGTATCTTTTAAAAGAACATATATATTCAAGGGCTACGTAACTTATAGTTACAGTTATTTGTTTTGTCACCACAATCTTTGCTCACTCAAAAAGTTTCTTCCCCATGCATCATAACCAAATGGGCGTTCAGAGTCATGTTGTCCAAGCACAACCGACGCAAGCAATTCCGCTGAACATAGCTCGATACAGAAAGACAATGTGGGGTGGGTGCAGATTACATTGGTTGTTTGTTATCTGCCTTTTGGTGTAGCCATAGCTTTGACACCTCCAAAAGTTTACTGTTTAACGATTTACCTTACTAGGTAATTTACGACTACTTTTGTTTTTCTTAACTCGTCTATAAATCGCGCTACTTTATTGTTGGAAGATCCGTGAAGTGAGGCAAGCTGTAAGGGAGAATTTGAGTCAGCTCGTCTGTTGATCTAGCGAAATTAGTTTACTTTCATTCATGCTGAGTTAAAAAAGTAGTCTCACTGAGAATTCCTCATTGAAAATAGAGCGATTGTTGTTGTGACATTTCGAAGATAGATACTGGTTTATTGTCCGCCGGTGTAAAACTTTCCGGCAGGTGTTTTTAATTAGTAATTTGTGTGTCCCATAGAAATTCAGGAACACTTCACGTGGTCGGCTAACCTGCTCTAAGTAAACCATGATACAACTTGAACTAAGTGTCACTCGATGTCATGTTGATTTCACTATTAATATTGATTCGTAGTTCCACTTCATTAAAGTTTTTTTACGGCGGCCCGTAAGTGACATTCTAAGCAAAGTAAAAAAAATGCATTAAAATCATGAATTTCATTGGTCGGCGTAGCTGTTTTATTCCGTGTCCAGAGTTATTTCTCCTGATCCAAAGTTTTTACTCTGGATCCAAAGTTACTATTCCGGATCCAAAGTTTTTACTCTGGATCCAAAGTTATTACTCTAAATCCAAAGTTTATTACTCCGGATTCAAAGTTTTTACTCTAAATACAAAGTTATTACTCCGGATCCAAAGTTTTTACTGTGGATCCAAAGTTTTTACTCCTGATCCAAAGTTATTACTCTGGATCCAAAGTTAAAACAGCTATGCCGAATAAATGAAATTCATGTTGGCTGGATAAAAACTTTGGATCCAAAACAAAAATCTTTATTTTAATGCACTTTTTTTACTTTGCTTAGAATGTCACTTACGGGCCACCGTAGAAAGAAGACATTTTAAAATGTAAATATATTTCTTCCCACAGAGAGAAATGACGACTCCCCTATAAATGTACTAAGTTGTATGAAATAACTCCCAAGAAACGTTTCCTATTGGAGGCCGAGAAAAAAACTTCAAAAGCCTCAATTTTCACAAAATGACAATCTTACGCTGACGATTTTACCTGAGTGTGTTTTCTCGATTCCTGTGAAATTTGAAATTTATATTCTCGGGCTCTCGTAAGAAATTGTCTTTGGTGATATTATAGATAACTAATTATTAAGTGTAAAAAAGAACGCGATATGGCTTAAAATACCCTGGTACAACTGGGTTTTTGTCCACTGAAAATTAAAATTACTCAATTTCCTAATGGATTCCGTCTTATTAGTCAGTTTGTTCTCTTTGGTAAAAGTAATAACTGAGGCGTATATACAATATTACGTCTTAAAAATGTGGCCTTTTCAAAATTTTACAATTAATATGGCGTCTAAGGGCTAGTATGTAAACAGTACACACATGAACATGAATTTCTGCCTCACTCGCTCGCTGGTGTTATAGAAAACTCTAGCGGGTGTTAGGGCTTTCGTTTTTAGGTTAGAGCCAAAAGTTAACCCTTGGAGGTGCAGAGCTGGTCGTTTGGTTTTTTTTAATTTAGCCTGGGTTAAGGCTCACTTGTGCGAGTTTGGCGCTTTTGGCGGCAGAGCGCCGCCTGCGCGAGCCTGAAAAGCCGGCGAGGGAAGGAAAATCCTTCGCGCCGCCAAAATTTTCCTTAAACCCGCACGAGTAGTGAGCGTGCAAGCAGGCTAGTTGATCTTTTTTGATCATTCTATTGCATGCCAGCGTTTAGCGTCTAAACTTTGACTTTATCCGTTTCGAGTGGCTTATTTTAACATCCTTTAAATATGATATATCCCGATCTCTCGTTTTCGAAGGCGAACCTTATTTGAAGGCAGACAGGTGTCAAACGGTCCGTTTTCCTTTCTGTTAGCCGTTCACGGTCTTCCATTCAACAAATTTCTTTAGCTGTTTAGCCGTTCAAGTTCCCCCCAGCGCGTTCGAACAGTCCATTTTTAACTTGCCCACCAGTTTTCTATTTGTTCTGTAGCCGTGAGTCGAGAGAGACTGATCACTGACTGAATATTTTTATTTTTAAAAAATAAAGATAATAGTGGGTACTTCCTTGTTGCATAAACTCTTTTTATTAATACATTTCCCGGTAGCATTCAATATATTACTCAAAAAACGTATTTGGTCAATGACAATTAGCATCATAAAAACAGGTTTGCGTTGTAAGCATTATAAGCTACCCCGTACCCTATAACCGTCTACAATTGAAAAATACCAGTTAAAAAAACAAATCCCTGTACACGAAAACTATATCATCGAGGGGGGCAGATGTTGCAAGAACAGTTTTTAGCAAGCTAATTAGCACAATACGTAACCAAGTTTTAGTGTCGAGTGGTGATGCTTAGCAACGGGGATTCAACTTGAGCACAAACGTTTTCCATCAGCTGTACCGGATTTTAAGGTCTTCAGGCTTTTCAGGAATTAGAATATGACTCAGTTTGAAGGTAGGCCCTACTTCTCGCAAGCTCTTCTCGAGACAATCGAGACAAATTCCTTTTTGGTTATAGGCGACAGCATTACACAAAGCCTGTATTTGTGGGACACCGTCAAACGGTCGTGGCTTTTGAAATTTTGAAAGCGTACGTTTTCAGGGGTTCTGTAAATTTCTTCGTGTTTTTATTTAATCTAGAGCTGTCAACTATGTTCCAAATGATAGAAGTATAGGCATTTTTACTCTTTTTTACTCTTCATCGGAATCAAAGCAAACGGTTTACGTTCAGTCGTACCAATGAATGGTTTCTCCTGACTTGTAAAGGTATGGTTTCACTTGTCAAAGTTTCAGTTTATTTGCGCAAAAAAAAAAAAAAAACTCTTAAAAGTATCTATTTTCATGTGCAACTGACTGAGTGGTTTCAACTGGGACTTAGGGTAGTTGACGGGAATTATAGTGAACTGTGTCATTATTGATGATTATGGCGTTTTACCCGGCTATCATGACAGATCCAAAAATTATAACTTCCGCAGTTTTCAATGTTACGACTACTCATGTTTGCCTAATGTACTGTCAAAATTATCGCTCGCTGCAAAAAAGAAACTCTTTTCGATTAGCATTGATTACGAACTTTAAGTTTGTATATGATAATATTACGCTATATTATATGTTTTTAAAGAAAAAAGATGTCTATTTTCATCGAAATTTTCAAGACTTTTTGGGCCTGGCAAGAGATTTCTCTTTATTACTATTCGTAGTCAGGCAAAGCGCAATTTGAAAAACTACAAAATGTTTGCTAAACCTTTCTTAATTCTTCCCCCTTTGACCTGCTGGCTAAGAATGTTTTCCGGTCTGACCATCAAGACGTGAATGCTAAAATACAATTCCCCTCTTTTGCTTTTTACAAACAGGTTGGCCATTAAAGAGGCAAGAAAGATTAATAGAGGGAATTATAGCGTATTCAGCTAGCTAATAGCCTTAAAGATGACGACCTTCCTTCCACCCATACAAAAGAAGTCTGTGACAAAGCACTTACTTGCTCGACTTCGTTGCATCCCAGAACAATGATGGCGCAGGCAAATTTTACCGAAGATGAAGACCAGAAAACATTCAAGAAAATAGACTGTTCGGCGGAATTTTATACCAGAGGGGTGAATGGCGAGCTTATCTTTCTTTCATCTCTAAATATTATTCTGTCCATTGCTGCATTTCTGGGGAACACTTTGATCCTAGTCGCCCTAAACAAGGAATCTTCACTTCACCTGCCGTCCAAACTCCTGTATCGTAACCTAGCGATAACTGATCTCTGTGTTGGTATCGTTGTGGGGCCTTTGGCTGTGATTTATTGGATTTCTGTGTTGACGGAAAGATGGGATATTTGCTTTTACGCAGATTCGGCAGTAGGCTTCGCGGGTTATACTTTGTGTTCAGTGTCTTTATTCACATTAACTGCAATAAGCGTTGACAGACTTCTTGCCTTGTTGCTGGGTCTCAGATACAGACAAGTTGTAACTTATAAAAGAACATGTATAACTGCAATTTTCTTTTGGATTTTGTCCATCGGTGGATCTGCCTTTTTTTTTATTCCAGTTATTATTTCATCATTTCAATACTTAGTTACAGCTACATGTCTAATCACCACAATCTTATCTTACACAAAAATTTTCTTCTTTCTGCGGCATAACCAAATTAATGTTCACAAGCATGTTACCCAAGGACAACTAAACCAGTCACTGAACATGGTTCGATACAGAAAGGCAGTGAGCAGTGCATTGTGGGTGCAGGTAACATTGCTAATTTGTTATCTGCCGTTTGGTATAGCAGTAGCTTTGACACCTCAAAAGGAATATAGTTTATCGGTTTACCTTGCTAGGCAATTTACGTCTACTTTAATTTTTTTAAACTCGTCGTTAAACCCGTTGCTGTACTGCTGGAAGATCAGAGAAGTAAGGCAAGCTGTAAGAGAAACATTAAGGCAACTCTTGTGTTTATAATTATTCGAAACTATCAATGTAGTTTACTGTGTTTTGAGCTCGGTTACAGAAATCGCGCCGGCGAAATCCCCGTTCTTATGCACCTATAAACGTAAACCCCGTGGGGGAGTGCGGGCAAGGGGTGGGGATTTGACAAATTTTAAAATTTTTTGATCAAATTCCCGAGGGTGGGAAACGAAAGGTCAATCAAAAGCGTCAAAATAGCCCCCACCCCAGAGAAAAAAATCTAAATAAACAATACTATAATACTATATAAAACGAATAAAAGGACATTTCAAAAGTACGTTCTCACTACTTTTATTTAAGGTTAACGTAAGCTCCGTTAAGTTACTCGCTGTAATTAAGTATTTTCTCTCTCCACTAGCATCTCTAATTTTGAACAACAAAATCACTCTAGGAAGATTGACCGTACTATTATAATATTAATGAAACGTAAAATACTTTATAACATCTGCTCAACATGTCGGAACAGGTCGGATCAGTGACCCGTAAAAAATCCTCTGACTTTCATGGTGGAATTCGATTTCAATCGAGTTTTACAATCAGATGGGAACTTGAAGATAAAAACTTTCTCAAAATAGACATTATCTGTTATTAAAGATGACAGTTTAAAGTATCGGATTATGGCGATTAAAACAAATGAAAACTTCATACCTTTCTCCGACAGCGTGACTTTCAGGAAGCTTCGAGGGAGGGACTTGGTAACCGCTTCTGAATTGATACCAGGCTTCTGTCGGTCAAAGTCAAATGTCCCGACCCCGGGGGTCGCTTCACACGATCAAAAGCCCGACAGGGGGAATAGTCTCAGGCATCAAATCCCCGCCCCTTGCCCCCCCCCCACGGGATTTACATTGATAAGTGCATTATGTGTGAACAGACGCCCAATCCGGTATGGTTTTCGCGCCGGCGCGAAAGCCATCCGGTATAGTGTGAATATCGCCCTTAAAGAGATGAAGCCTTGACAAACGTTTCGTGTAGGAAATGTTATTTGTATACGAAAGCGATAATGCTCATGAGTGTTTGACAGAGGACTTTATTCTAAATAAACAGAGAAAGCATTTCATTTGTCAGAACTGGCCTGGCAAGACCATTTCCGTCGAAATGAGAATTTCACTTTTGTCAAAACTATCCAGCCAGATCAGTCAATTCCTAAATAATATGCATGGCCCAGCTGATGGGTCTATAGAGAGAAATAGCTGATTTCATTTGCGAAATGAACGGTCTGACACTGAGGCTAAGTTCTGATTTTTGCAAAGCGCCCTGAATTTCGTATGATTATGGTTCATGGGTTGAACTACTCAATAGAAATATCACAGGCCTGAATGTTCGATCTGTCGACAACAAAAATTAAACCTCTCTCATCAAGCTAAAATTGATAATTTTATTGTAAAGCTTAATCTATTCCACTAAATGGTAATAAAACTATGGTATTGCATAAATAAATTTAAAACTCTGAAAAAATTGTACATATGTTCTTGGGGAATTGATGCTAGTTTAAGGATATTATACAATTCTGTTCTTTACGTCATTTGTTAGAATTATTGTCCACGAATTAACTTTTAATTAACGACTCCAGATGGACAAAAAATACTGTACAATGATTTCGCGCCAGGAAAGTCCACTGCTTTGCTGTATTTGTCCGCAACTCTATCATACTACCCCCACCCATTCTGGTGCCTATAGGGAGGGGTGGGATGTCAAGGTACGACACTTGTCACTGCACAATTTTAAAGGACTCCTAAACCGATCACTAGATTCAAAACCTTAACTCCGTCGACTTCTGCTTTTGTATTTTGATTCACTTTCCATGTTATATGCGATATGGTATAAACATTGCGTGTCAAACCAGAAGTATTGCAAGTGATGATAGCCCAGCTACAAGCACTTGTCAAGGGAATATTACTTGTCCACTATCTGAAAATTCACGTACGATACATTGAAAAAAGTGGTTAAAATATTCTTTTAATTGATTGCAAGTCCTTTTGCAAGTTGGATTTTACAGATCGACTCTTGATTTTGTTTTGTTCTTCCTTTCCAATGTTTTCCTCTAACAGAATTCCATATTTTTATAGTCACACATAGAACTGTGACTTTACAATAAATTGCTTTCAAATGGTGGCATAGTTAAGACGTCAGCCTTTATAAGTGTGAAAGAGGGCAGAGACAAGGAAGGTAGACAAGCAGGTAGAACGAGGCTCACGATAAGTCAGAGACTACTGCAGAGGGGAAAAAGTAGCAGAGGTGAGAGAAAACACAAGAAATGGAAAATCAAAAATGATGTGAAAGCGAAAGAAGTAACAAGCACATGGGGTAAGAGAACCACAGAGGAGGAAGCCGCCAGCAGGTGGAGCAGAATTCTCACTCCAGCCCACTTTTTCTTCCCGTCTTATTTCCTTTAGTCTTGCTCATCACTTGAGGCCTATTTTACATTGAGTAGACACGTGAATCTGAATCCCGGATTCATCCAAGTGTCACCTGACAGACCAGTTATCCAATTACACATTTGGTAGATGCACTCTTAGATTAAGAACTTTCAGAGATTCATCAGGAGTTAATCTGTATACCCCAGCATCCTGCAAGGCAGCACGGGACGGAGGCACGTCTTCCCCTTCGCAGATGGCACTGTCTGAAGACTTAAGCAAGTCTCTTAATAGCACAGCGGAGCCTGGTAGAAGATTTAACAAGACACAAGCTTCTTTGACCCTGAGGAAGAAAAAGAAAAATTTACACACCTGCAGTGAGTTATTTACACCGAAAAGCGACAAGTGAGTTAGTTAATACAAAAAGCTAATTGAATAGGTTGTTAAGCGAGAAATCCCTACTCTCCCTGTCGTATGGACAAGACTAGGTTCAGAACTACAGCATCAGACAAAAATAGTTGGGACACTTCCACCCAACAATGTTTTTCTAACTTCTGCCCCGTCTCCTCCTCCTCCCAATGTTGTTTATCGCAGTTGTTCATCGCACCAAATCTTACATACCAACATTGGGAGGGCAAGAAGGCCTCAAAGTGTCCCAACAATTTTGACTGAGACTGTAATTCTGAAGCTTCAAAAACTCTAAAACCGAGTAGCTAGGATCAGAACCCTGTCCACAACTTTGGTTCCAAGCTAACTGGTCTTGCGAAAGTTAACAGAGGGATCATTTCTTGATTTCTGTACTTACTCTTTGAAGAAATTCTCTGGTTTTTGGGTGTATTCCAGAAACAACGTAAAGAGATTCTTTGTCAAGTCAAACTGTAACTGGGCTGCCCCTCCTTCATTAAAGTGACACTGCAGAATGATCTGTAAGGAAGACATAATTTTCAACTGCAAATAACGCTCATGAAAATAATAACATTCGCTTTTTGCTACTCCAAAGCACTGATTCGGGTGAAAAGTTGAGAATTTCAATTGATTGTAGTCCTGCACGCCGAATCCGAGTGAAACAAAACAATTTCAACATGTGTCAGGTCAAAATGCTGCTAAGAACTGCAAGAATACATCCCGAACAACAAACGGGGAAGGACTTTCTAGAGGGATTTTGTTCTACATAAATCCTTCTGCAACACGGATTTCAAAAACAGATTCAGGAAAGAAATCTTCTTTTCTTTTACTTCTGCGTTTGATTTAAAGTACCCTAAGGTATGCTTAGGGCAGTTTTTGCATCTTCCGTCTCCCGTTCAAGTTAACAGAGTACAACTCCAAACACATCTGTCTTCTGCATAGCTAAAGTTTGCCACGTGATTGGACCGCAACAAGGTTTTCTACAGCCTCAATGGTTATTTCACAGTCACTGGAGTGATGACGTCCAACATTGAAGTTTGCTAGTTGTTAGGTGTAGCAACAGTTCATATCTCTCACCTCCTCAAATATAAACTTGTTTAGTGCTTGTGCAAGTTGTTTCCATACCACACTGAAGATACTACTTGCCAGCTGTTCTCGGAGAATTTGAAACCTTCCCTTCACAAAAAGCAACATTTCACAAGCTGACGAGGATAGAGTTAATAGAAGCACATCCTTTGGATGAGGAAATACGTGCCACCTAAAATGAAACAAATGAATTATTGTTGTTAAAAGCTGATGAAGACATCCCCTCATTCTAAGATAGCGGAACAGACCACAGACATGTAAAATTATCACACTTCAGTGAAAGTAAAAATGGATCAATCTTTATATCCGTGCAAAGCTCCACTTAGGCGCAAAATTATTGTGAAAGTTCTGCATGAGTACAGTCCTATTTACATGTAAAAACCTACATGGTTATTTAAAAAAGAAAAAAAGTGCCAATGAACGTATTTAACATGCAAGTACTGATTTGAGGCACTATTTACCATCTCCAATAGAAGCGACACCGCCATTTCTATGAGGTCATCTGCGCCACAGTTCATCATTACCAGACAAAAGCAGTACCTTCTTGCTGAATGAATGTTTGTTCAGCCCTGGGAATTGAACCCGCTACCTACAAATCTGTAGACCTTTGATCGAACAAGTAAGATAACTTTACGGCAGCGAGGAAACACGCACTGCAACATTGTTTAGGGGTATCTGGTCACCTTGCAACCAGCATAATCGCCACCAAGAAGTCGACTCGCCACCAATCAACTCGCCACCAATGGTCAAACATTCAAGACAAGTACGTGGCAATATACCTGATATAAACCCAAACCCACATCGGTTTATATCAGGCTTATCTCATTTATATTTAACAATTTTGTCAGTTTGTTGCACCCACAAAAAGTTGATGCAGGCCGACCAAGCTGTAACAGGATGCATGGGCAGATTAAATTCCTCAACTAATTATCATTGGATTAAACTGTACAATACTACTCACTTTTCTTTCTTATAAGGTTTGCTTAACATCCGGAACCCGTGCACAATATGATCAACGATAACTCTGATCATTTGTTCTTTTAAATCCTGCAGGGACTGCACCACACCATCAAATACACTTCCTGTCACTGGGGAATCCCCCTCTTCTTCTTCATTTTCACCTTTTTCTTCAACCTTTAAGTCTGCATTGAGAGTTTTCGCACACTTTGAAGAGTCCATGGATAGATTATGGTGCTGATTGAGTCTAAGAAAGAGCTGAAAACATTAAAAATCATTAACATTTAATCAGTCTTAACAATAACTATAATTAAAAGATAGGAAGAAATCCAAGAAGAGTGCTCCAAAAATAAACTATTAACTTGGACTTTAGGTGTCAATTATTGTCCTATCTTATTTATTTTTGGGTTGTTCAAACACATTCACAGTTAGAATATTAAAAAAAAACATGCAACGGTGCTCAAAATTTGCCAAAAAATTTGCAAAATCTTCCTACTGGTAGTAAGGCGCTGTAGCTCAGGATTCAAATAAAAACTTAATAAAAATATTATAATCAAAGCAGTGTTTCAGTAATAATGTATTGACAACAAGATACCATTTGCTCGCTCCATTCCTGAAGTATAAGCTTGATGTAATCAGAAGCATTCAATACGGAGCAGTAATGTAAACCAGCTGGTGCGAAAGAGCTCTCCTCTGCTTCAAGACTCAATCTGGAGATAAAACTCTCCAAAAGAAAGAGCTGAACTTCTAAAAATCGCTCCTGATGTGAAACACCGGGTAAATTTCTATACCGATCTAGTGAGAAGAGAAAGAAGAAGAAAAAATCAAAAGGGAAGAATAAACATTATCTTATTCATTACGTTTATAGTCGATGATTGTTCCTCATTTGCCCATTTTCAGAGAAGTACACCACGACTCAGTGGGTTGGAGGGGGGGAGGGGGAGTATTCAACCCTTCTTCTCCTGGGGTCAACAAGGAGAGGAAAATGTTGTTCTGGTATCTGAGTCTGTGGATGGAATCCTATGATGTCACCATTTAAATGGAACCTCCTAAGCAGGTTGCATGCTACTTGCATCGTGCCGCATGGACGATACTGCTCACCTTGATGTATTTTACAAACTGAAGTCTAGGATTGCTCTCAAATTTTCATATTGGCCACTGGCCACTGAGTATAAGGCTCAACAGACTTACAGTGGAATTCCGCTTTTTTGAATAGTTGATTTTTCTAAACTCTCGTTTCTTACAAGGAAAGTTGTTGTTACAACCTATTTCTGTTATCGTCTTCTCGCTCAAGCAATTTTGATCGTAATGAAAAAGACTGATGTCAACAATGCATCAGGTGGAGGGTGGAGGGAAAATGTGACATTTTGACAAGCTATTGCGCTAGCGTCCCAAGAGTTTTGACCACGGTTGTAGAGTTATGAATGTACAAATATCAACAGCAAATCCCGTCACAGAAATAATAAGTGCGTTGCCTTATACACTATTTAATCTGTATTGAAACAAAATGATGATCCTTGGTCTGAGCTGCTATACACCACCCTTCCTAACATTGCACATTGCACACCCCTTCCCCCTCCCCCCCCCCACCCCCGCACTGCAAGTGCTACTCTAGAGCTTCCATTCCAACCTTTCATCGGACTTAGGGATTCTTATCCTTATTAAAATCCCTGTAGTCTTCTCACAAAGAAAGCATCACAAAGCATTCTCTTGTGTTTAGTAAGCTGCATTACTGCTCGTCCGTCTGGTCGAATACTTCTGCCAGCAATATACGCAAAATACAAGGAGTACAGAATTTCGCTGCTGGCATAGTTTCTGGGACAAGGAAGTTTGATCACGTATCTCCAGCCCTGAAAGACCTAAGATGGATACCAGTTAAGTCCCACCTGTATCTAAGAGACGCCATCTTGGCCTTTAAATCTATGACAGGTCAGGTACCAAACTACCTCAGTTCAAATTTTATCTCCAGAGGGAATATCAGTGGTCGGACGACCAGATCATCTTCCCAGCTTAATATGCCGCTTTTTAAAACCAAGTTGGGACAGAGATCTTTTTATTACAGAACTGTAACTTTGTGGAATGCGTTAAAACCCCATTTTAAATTAAGTGAATCTCTTATTATTTTCCAACGTAAAATGAAAGCATTCCTTTTAAATCAATTTTAATGTCATAAATTTATATGTAAATAGTTTCTTAAAAATTTATTGATAATCAATTTGTGATGTCATAAATTCTATATGCAAATAGTTTCTTAATAATTGTTTATTGACAATTCTTGATTATTTATTTTTATTTTTTATTTTTTGATTACCTGCACTATTAATATTTGTCTCTGAAAAGCCCTCATGGGGAGTTGACAATAAAATTTGTATTGTATTGTACAAACTATGTCCCCAGTCACATTACCTGTTATAACCGTCAGAAGAGTCATGAAGCTTTCAGCACACTCTGGTGTCCGTGTGTCATCTACATCCCCCACTTCTTTATATTTAGGTTTCCAAGCTGATGAAGAAGCTAATACTGATTCCATGTTTGATATAGCATCTGAAAGACATAAATAAAACTTAAATTATTTATGCAGGTTTCTCAAAAGGATTTGAAGTAGGCATCTGCCCTCAGTTCGCGGCTGTGACAAACGGAGGGGCTGTGGTAAACCAGTGAGGGGTTTGAGGCGTATTTCGGAAGAAAATTTTTAAATATGGAAGCTCTGAAAAGCAATTTCGAGGCCATTAAGGCCGCCGTTATTATTGCAAACTGCGTAAGACTGGATTGAGTAACTCATTACCATTTTAAACTGTGAAGGGCTGCGCCAAAGTGAATGTCGCATACTCGGGTGTTTACGCGGTTGAAAACATGGAGGTTGTCAAGTACAGAAGCACAAATGAGTTTACTTTTTTGGTCTTGATTGTTTTGATTATTTTGTAAAATATATATGACAAGGAAAACTCAAAATCAGAAAAAAGACTTGATCGAATGCAAAGTACAATGTAAGCAGCTGCAAATTCCAAAGTAGGCGGTGATCAATCACTGGCTGCCGGTTTCTATTGCAAACCCTGTATTAATGGTGGAACCCCACTTTACAGCCATCCCGTTTGTACGACCGCCTCACTAAATGCTATGCTCTTTTGATCCAAAAAATTAAAACACTGATTTATTTTAATATTTTTATGTGACCACCTTCATATTATTACAATGAGGATTTTATGGCCAAATGGTCGTCACATTAAGGGGTTTCCAAGGTATCGTGACAAGTGCTAGTCATTGCAAACAGGTTAACCTGTACTGTTACTGGTGTAGCTTCAGTATTAATTTTAAGCAGGAAGTAATGTTATAGAAATCAAAATATCAAACTGTGTACATGAGGTTCGGCTTTTAAAGCCTGACATTCCAGCTATCTATAGAATATTAGAGCTGTATATAACAAAAGGGATTTCACTTTTTATAATTCATACTAATTAATGTTATTTAATAAAGAAAATGGAAAGAACATAAATAAATCATGTTTAATGAGTTTCTTAAACTCTGGCAAAACACTGCTGAAAGTTTAGCTCAGAGGAAAGAAATACAGTGTACAGTTAAACTTCCACTTGCGACCACTCTCTATAAAGCGACCATCTATCCAAAACACCAAACTTTTCCCAGTCAAATCCCTATAATCAATCACAACCTCTTGTAAACGACTGGTGGACCACCCCTTGTGAGCGACCACAACTACTTTTTGGCCTGACAGTTACATTATTTTCGTTTTTAACCACTTATAAACTACCACACCCTATAAAGTGACCAACTATCCAAAACACCAGAAGTTTTCCCATTAAATCCCCATAATCAGAAGCCATTTTAAATGACCAAGTCTTGTGAGCGACCATGACCGCCACATTATTTCAGATGTGGACAAAAGAAATCTCAGCCAATTCCTGACACTACTGCCAATTATTGTTAGTATATACAAGTAGCTACTTACAGTTTCTTTCTAACTCTAGCCACCTTGCCAGACAAGAATCAGTAGTAAGCGCATGTAAACAGCCATGTTCAGTTGAATGATAATTATGAGCCAAACCAAGTTCTTTGTTAAATAACAGTAGTTCATCAATAAAATGGGAAAATAAAATGTCATCATCTATTATTTGAGGAATGCTATGTTCCAATTTCTGCACAACAACTTTTAACAATCCAGCAATAAATTCAGTCTGAAAAAGAAAAAAAAAGATGGTAAGCAATCAGTTAGTCTCTTTCGCACCTACTTGGGCCAGAGTCACACAATGATCCCTGGGGACTGAGCATTGTGTGACTTGATCCTTTCTTTTTTTCATTAAGGAACAACTTTAATGTGAAGTACACTAGAATTGATATGAAGTTACACTAACAAAACGGCTGCAAATTCACTCTCAAACAATGGTTTTCAAGACATTTTTATCCAGATAAATATTCTGTTAAACTTGAACCTAGATTAAAGTAGGCCAAACGTTACAAGCCAAAGGCACTTCTCAACAGTTTTACTAACTGGTCACGGTAACTTAATAAGCAATATTTAGTCACCTTGGAAGATTTCCACTTTATACCTACACTTTGTTAGATTATTGTCAGTGGCAGTAAATCTTTGTCATCCTGCCCCTTAAAATCCTTATTTTAACTAACTAAATTCTGTAGACATTTTGCTCCAGCCTCAAATGACATTTTACACTAACCTGTGGATGTATCACTTATTTTTCTCGTCATTTATTGTTTAGAAAATTTAAGGGAGTGTCAGTATAAAATGAATTCAAAATTTATCAACATCATTATGACAGATCAATAGGTAGTACCGGTAAACGTATTTGAGTCACATGTACAGCTCTGTAAACCCCAACACAAATCCACAGGGCTGATGGATTATTAAACAGTAGAATTAACTTCTGATATTCCCTCTCAGCTAATCAGTATTCATTAAATTTTGATACAGTTCTCTACTGATTGTTTACATTTGTAATTTTACAAGTTAAGTACATGTACGATAAAATATTCACATCCAGTTCTGATCTGTATGGGTTTTTACAATGGCCTGCTTGAGCCTTCATGCTTGTCAATGTAAATGTATCTCTCACTCATATTTTTATCAGTTAAGTACATACAGGTACATGACGATTGTTTTTGTATAATTCCAACTATTTGATGCAAAGGCTTCTAAATAAATAAATAAATGAATGAATAAACAAATACATGAAAGAGTGAATAGAAAATTAGTTAAAAGTTAGACCAAGCTACATGTATTAACAACTCAAGCACAACCCACCTTTGCATCTATAGATCCAAATTCAGTCCTTTCAAGTATGGGCTGTATTGTGTGCTGAAGAAAATCACTGTGATTCTTGATCCAATTCAGGACTTGAGTAAAATACCATTCAGGCTAACAAGAAAACAAAATTACCCTAAAACTTCACAAATAAACTCCTCCTTGCAGTCCTGGCCTCAGTTGCTCAAAAGTTGAATAGCACTATCCATTGGATAAATCACTATCCAGGGCCCAGTTGTTGAAAAGGTGGATAATGCTATCCACGGGATAAATCACTATCCAGCGGATAACGCAATCGGTTTTCGTAATCAGACTTGTCCACTGGATAGCGATTTATCTGGTGGATAGCGCTATCCAACTTTTCAACAACCGGGGCCAGAACTTTGGGTAACCAATGCACTATCAACTGGATAGAAATTTATCCAGTGGATAGCATTATGCGCATTTTCAACAACTGGGGCCTGGCACCTGTTTTTCAAAAGTCATGGTAATTTTTCGGGGCTGGAAAGTTTATTCATATAAAAGATGTGTTTACATTCAAGATCAAAGTTTCAATAATTTTGAAAACAGTTTATCAGTTAATATCAGCTTAGAAAGCAAAATTGACTGGTTTGTTGGCTAGGAACTGTGCTACTATTCAGCGGTTTTTGATGTTAAAATTTGCTTCCAGGCCCAAAAAGTTTCTAGGCCTTCCAAGAAACGGGTTCAAAGCTAATAATTACTTGGGAATTGTCTTCAAACACAAAACTGCATGTAAACTACATGTATGCTATATAGGAACTTTATGAGACAATGTCAAACATGAATTTTGTTATTTATTTTGTTATTTTATTATTTCCTTGATTTATTTATATTACAGGCCATTTATATTATATTACAGATTCAAACATATCATTCATAAGATTAGGTATCACTGAATTCAAACTTAGGTCCCACCTATAACTAGGTATTGCTTCCTAGCTATGTATAACTTGTTAACTTCTTGGGTACACTGTACGTTACAGTACAAACAATGTACGTTTGTTTGTAGTTGTTACAGTACTTCTCATAAATCCCTCTAACATGTTTATTTTTTGTTGTTGTTTATAAAAGTTTTCCTTTGCTTTCATGGGACATTGCAGAATATCACTTTTGTGAAGTGAGCTCCCTGTTAACACATCATTATCATTATTATTGTTATTATCATTAAAAACCACAAATAAAGTTTCCATTATTACTGTTATCATTATCATCACCATCATCATCATTATTATGATTATTGTTGTTGTAAGTGTAAAAATACTGTTGCATACACCTGTTGGGTGGTTTTGAACAGAACGCTGTGCAATTGGACAACCCCTAGTTCATACGTAGATAAATATTATTATTAAACTGTTTTTATTTCAAGCTGTAAGTAGAAATTTGCACCTGAGTTTACATGCACTCCTTGATTAAAATAAGGTCCATAAACAATACATACCTTTTCAAGATTATTTGTTTGCTTATTTCCATAAAAATGAAAGTTGAACCTCTTTCTGAAGGGCTTAAGTAACCAGTCTAATGGGAGCAAAATTTCACTTTTATCCTCAGCAGTTTCAGACGATGTTTTGTTACTTAAGTTTCAGAAAGGAAAGTTAACAATTAAGGATAATCAACATTTGAGGATACATATACGACTAACACTAATATAACACAACTAATAAATATTGATATTGAAACTAATTGACTATTAAGAAGCGGATCTGTAACCTTAATTTTGCATCTACCAGTACCCAAGACTTACATCATAAGAGATCAATAATTTATTGCGTCCCATCTACAAAGAGCAGAGCATTATTTTAGATACCACGATGCCCAGAGTAAGGTGCAAATCCACTTGTAAACTGGCATTAATGCTTTAATATTTGGACAAAACAAACCAATCCGTACTAACAAGGATATATATATGCTGTCAAGCATTAAAACATTGTTACTTCAAGTGAATCACTCCAATATGATATATAGTATAATTACCAACTACATAGTATATGATTGTAATTGTGAATTATTTGGAAAATGTTGATGTTCCTGCTGGTATAAGACTCCGAATCAAAATATTGTCTTGTCTCATCTTGTCTTGTCAGTACCCCTCCCCCAAGCCCCCACCAGAAAGGAAGGAGACTTGCATGGTATATGATAACATATAACAGCTGTGGCAAGCACCAGATAGGTGCAACATATAGGGCACTGAGAAATAGACTGGGCAAACACCAGAAACAAACAACATCTGCCATCTATGAACACCAGTCCAAGACCCACCAGGGCATCATTAAGCGGCAGGGGCCAGGGATTTGCCCTGGCTACTAAGAATGTACCCCTTGGCTTTTTTCATAGGGAAATCAATTAGCTGTTTGATTCCCCGCCTACTTGTTGTATTTACCAGGCAATTGAAAACTTAGTGACAACCCTGCTCACCATGGGAGTGGCCGGGGGTGGGGGGTGGGGATTCAAAACCTTTGACCTGGATACCATGGGAAAGTCAAGACGGCCATCCACATGAGATGCCCATTACCCAACCTTAAACAAAGATAAATTAGGGCAATGAACTGTCCAAAATTTTTTAATCACTTGGTGTTATGTGATGATATAAAATAATGTCCATCACATGACTACTTTAAAGACAGTCAGTTGGCTGCAGATGGTGTGAAAAATTCAAAGCTTAATTTGCTCTAAGAAACCTTGCTGAAGGATTTTTTCATTCAATTCTAATTTTACCAGATGATCATGCTCCACCTACCTATGAAACGACTCCTGGGTTCAAACCTTTCATTATTCTATACTAAGCAGCTTATGCATGTAAATACTTGTATCCTTAATGGCACTGTTAATTCCTCTTAAACATCATTTAGGCCTAAACCTTTATATACATGTATGAAGGCAGTATTAGACAGAACATTATAAAAACAAAACCGTTTAATAAATAACAGTAACAATAATAATGAAAAAAATGCCTTCAACCATAAACCATATTTTAACCATAACTGTTTTTGCAGAAGAAAATTTACATGACTCCCAAACTGTCCTCAATGTACAAAGTATTCTGTACTTGTAAAAGTTGTCCTTCACTAATCAAAACAATAAAATCAACAGAATAAACTTATTCTTATAAATTGAGTATCTGAATATAAGGATACAATTCTTGCAGTTTAAGCAGGAGGACAAATACATTTTCAAGTCTGCTGTAGTCATCAGATGTTGTGGACAAAGGAGGTGCATTCGAAACTGAAGTGAAAGGCCACTTTAAAACCTTCATGACATCATCAAATTCACTACAATGGGAGAATAAAAGTTCATTACTAAAATTTACTTTATTCCTGTTACCGACTAGTTGTCATTGTGGCCTACATACATGTATAAGCTCCCATAAGAGGAAATGCTAAGGAAAAAATTATATAAAAATGTTAGTAATTGGAGCTTCTTTCTCACAGGGATGATCATTGTACTGAGCCATTTAATTAGTCAAAAGAGCAATCATGTACAGCAAGAGATGGGAGACATGAGCAGAAGCTTATGCATCCTCACAATATTATTATAATATTACTTATTAATTAATTGTAATAATTTCTTTTTCTATTAATTTTTTTAATCTTTTGTCCAGCTTGGAGACAGTTTTGAAACTCTCACCAGGAACAGTTCCAGAAAATTCTGAAATTAAAGGAAACCAAGGTTTATGGTGTGCCAGTTAGAGTTATTACTTATGGATTACAAAACTCTCCTGAACGGCTGATTTTCACTAGGAAGGAGTCAGAGTCAGAGTCGGAGTCACAATCAGAAGTGTACAACTTTATGACTTAGTGAAAACAGCGTTCTGATTCTGCTTATGACTGGCATCATTTACAATGAAGTGAAAACTAGGTTGTCAGAGTCACAAACAGAAGCAGAAGAACTAATAAAACCATTCTGACTCCGATAATCTGGTCACTTATGTAACATGGGAATGGAAAAGTTAATTCCAGACGCTGATTTACCTTGCTAACTTATTGAGGAGAATCTTCTGCCAATGTAGATGCATCTCCTTCACAAACTTGGTCAAGTTACAACATCTTGAGTCACTGAGAAGTTTAGCTAATTCAGACAGCACTGTCAACTGTTCTACAGCCCAGTTTAATTGACCACTTTCTACAAACTGTTGAAGCTGAAAACTGAAAACAAAGTCATGAATACATCAACTCATTCACAAAATCAACAGTTCAGGAAAAGGGTTTACACTTGGAGGGGCCATGCATGCACCCTCTACTGCTATGTGGACTTGGTACTTACCAAATACACTATTTTTCAACATTAAGAAATGCTCACGCTCATCAAAAATACCCATTGTGCAGGGTGCAAAGAAAGTCAGTTTTACAGCTTGTCATTCGGGCAAGTTGCAGTTGGCATGTACTAGCCCATTAGAGTCATTTTGATGAACCGGATTGATTACAGTTTTTCTGTACATGTATGTGAATTTAATTGCCCATCGGGCAACTTAACCCATTCGCTCCTGGACATTTTGCCGAAAAACGCGTTTTGAAGCTAGTCGAGTGGTTTTCTGGTCACTGTCGTGCTATAAAGAGCTAAAACTTACCACAAACCGGTTTACAGGTCGTACACTTGGCGGCCTTCTGATCCAGATGCAAAACATCAGCTTGCGAAGTTCGGGCATGCGCAGAAAGCAAAATTTCGAGATAGTTTTTGGGTTTAAAAGTGACACAGCAGTCTTGACTTTTACTTTTCGCTTTCTCTCCTCCCTTCTTTTTTCGCTTTTCTTGCCTCATTTTTTTTTTCTCTTGCTGGGCATTTAGTAGGCTTCATTTTGGTGGGAAGAGTTTTTAGGAAAGCTTTTAGGATCTTAGGATTAGGTGCAAGGAAAGGTAGGTGGGTAATGGAACAAGATTTTCATGGAGATTTTCAGGTCCTTGTCAGGTGGTTTTTTGCTTCTTTCTCCGGTGTCCTTGACTGAATTGTGCTCATTCTGGTATGGTTTGAAAGATCTCTTCACTCTGCACACGTGTGCGAAGAAAGTTGTCCTTGACCGTTAAAACTGATGACGTCACAAAGGGTAGAAAGGACCTGGATCCGCACGGGCAGTTACGGGCGGTTCAGGGGCGAATGGGTTAAGAACAGAATTCACTAACTCGATAGCAAAATCTACTAGTCCCGGGCTATCGGACATGACTTTCTCTGCACGCTGATTGTAATGCTGATATTTTCACCATCAGAGTGATATCAACTACATGTAGTCTTCACTGAGCTGTTTTTATGGGGAATAGGTTGACAAGGAAAAAGTGTACTTAAGGGGGCTATGTCAGCTGGAGAGCATGCGTGCTGAGGTTATGCAAATTACTTCAACTGTCAAAATTCTATCATTTTTAACGCGTGACTTTCTCTGTCACATCCAAGGCTCCCAAATTTACAGAGACGTTTACAAGCGAATTGCGTTTGGATAAGGGATATTAATTTTGATAAAATTTACAGAACGTTTCTTCTCTGGTTATGCTAGATTAAGTTTTCTCAATTTCTTTGTCATGAATAACAGTGTTAAGATAATTTTACTTGTAGTTTCGAAGTAAAAATGTATCCAATTCATAAAAACAGAGTGCAAACAAAAATTCAACAACAACATATTGTTGTAGTGAACTAAATAAATCAAAGTATTATTTTATAAATGACCTACAAAAGACTCTAGACCAAAGATAAAGACCAAGAATGTTTCAAATCATTAACAATTAGACTTGTCTGTCACTAATGATTTTATAATTTAGATGCTGACAGAACAAAAGAGACACTATTTTTGATGTCTTTGTTTTGATGTTAGGGAAACACACATTGAGCGTGCAAAATTGTTTGATCGTGCCGAATCACTGCAATGTCGAGAAAAACAGAACCAAGTATATCATTGGTATACTACTCCATTGTAAGCAGTCTGTGAATAAAAAGGGAAATCTCTGTTAGAACTTGAAAATGTTGGACCTATGTTTTCAAGTTTGTTTTCATTGGCTTGTACATGCCAGGGCTTCTGATATTTCGCGCGGTCGCGGACCCGCGAAATTCAGGTATTTCGGCGAAATCCTGCGAAATTCCCAAAAAAACGCGAAATACCGCGAAATCCGCCAGAAATATTTCCAAATACATATCGGCAAAGCATATTTAATACTTATCTTGGCTATTAGACCGGTTTTATTCACCCCAAACGTCCAAATTTAGCTTGAAACTTCGTCACTGCAACGAGTAAACAACGTCCCAAAACTACCAGGCGTTTTTAGATGAACGTTGCGAAAAACTGGGCACTAACCATAATGTTAATTGCTTTAACATTTCGCTCATTTTTCGTGCGAACTGTTGTTGAAAGAGCAAATGATTATCCCTGCTACAAAAACGTTCACCGACGCTGGTCATATCGACGCAAAATTGATCGATTTTAGCCAAATTTGCCAAAAAAATCCCAGCGAAATCGGCTGTTTTTTACTGATTGTTTCTTGGCGAAGTTTCCTTCCGAAATTTCCCGTGAAATCGGCCGATTTTCCTAAGAATTTGCCCCTGAAAATCCTTCGAAAATTGACTTTTTTCCGCTAAAATCCCGCGAAATGGGCTGATTTTTCTGTGAATTTTGACTTCTCTCCCTCGAAAATCGCCCGAAATCCGCCGATTGTGCCGCGAATTTTGACTTTTTTCCCACAAAAATCCCGCGAAGTCGGCCGATTTTTCCACGAATTTGCCCCTGAAAATCCCGCGAAATTTTGCTTTTTTTTCCGCGAAATATCAGAAGCCCTGCACATGTGCCGGGAGTGACATAGCCCCTTTAAATGTTCAGTGACCATTCAAGAACAACAAATCATAACCAAATTGCCTTGAGAAAAAACTTATACTATATCTCTAGTTTCAATCTGCATTTTAAGGTAGGTAATCATGATGAGTAGATAATAATTGGCATAAAACAAAGGTTAGCATTTTCAAAAGATGTGGCCTCTTGACTGCAATACTTTTAAGGATATGAGTGTTGCTAGCCTTGGCAAATTTTTTGTAGTTGCTATACCTTACAGATTTAATCTTCTGTATCCAGCTTACATAAGCACGAAATCTTTCCACCTCAGCAATCTGTGTAATTAACCCAGACAGCCTTTCAACCAAAGGCTGAAGCTTTTGAACATGGTTATCAACTTTAACAGTCAGCTCTTGGTGCTGCTCATGAAGACTCTTGATCTCCTTCACTGCTGAGCAGCCCTTATCAAGGACATCTTGAATTTTCTCAGGGGTGCGACACTCTGCCTGCCACAACTAAAAAACAATATTAAGTAAAAAATATAAAGCAAACAAAAAAAATCGAGAAATAACATCAAATGTCAGAAAAATGCCACACAAGTTTAAAATAACTCACAAGCATAGGACAAAGAAAATGATATCATTATAGTGCAAGAAGTTTTTTGAATTTCTTATTTGTTTGCATGGACATATCTTTAAGTGCTGGAGTATTGGTTTTATTTACTAATAATGCTTTTTTCCAGGGAATTGGATTACACTGACAAGCTCTTTTGATGAATCAGAAGAGGTCACATTGTAAAAATTAGTTAATTTTTATTCTTGATTACAGCGATGAAACGGAACTGGTCTGCACCAATTAGTGCACGCTTAAAAACAATTTAAATTTGTACTTTAGCTAGTATACAATTGTCGTGTGTATAGTTATAGTTTTGGTGACAGCTCCTTTTAACAGGAGTTTTCTCATCAGTTCAGTGTTTACGCTGTAAATGTTTTAATTTGGTTTTTTCTGTTATGAATAATTTTCCATTAATCAGCTAACTAGTTTTACCAGTGTTACATTCAGTAAAGTCAGTAAATCAGTGTACGCAGTCAGTTTTCTGTTCCAGTTTACAGTACCATTTATTTTCAGTTTAGATTTATTTGCTTTAAGTTTAATTATGATTAAATGTTAAGATCGAATAAGTCCTCCATTAAATCATATGATTGACAGTATCCTGGTTAACATATTATTGTGTCAATTCTCAAACTGCTCATTAATTAAAGTGGTCTTGATCTTGACTGAAGACATGCCTGGTCAGGGCTCGAAATTAAAAAAATCCTCTGGTCACCTTTTGGCGACCAACTGGAGAAATATAGTCGCCAGATGCAAATTTTTAGTCGCCAGTTCGTATAAGGTAAATGACGCGGCTCGTAGTCAGGGCTTATGATATTTTGCGCCGTAGCAGAGCCGTGAAATTCACAAAAACACGCAAAATACCGTGAAATTCGGTTGAAATCTTATCAAATACATGTCTGTAAAACATATTTGAAACTTTTCTCAGCTATTGGGGCTATTTACTTGCCGTAAACTTGTAAATTTATCTTGAAACTTCGTCACTGAAACGTGCAAACAACGTCCCGTAACTCCGGAACTACCAAGCGTTGATTATGTAGCGAAAAACTGGGCACTAGCCATGATGTTAAAGGCTTTGCCATTGGTTCAGTTCTGGAGCGTATTGTTGTTGAAAGAGCAAATGATGACTCTGTTAGAACAACATTAAAAACGCTGGTCTGATCAGCGCAAAAACCGATCGATCCCTGACGAAGTTTTCCTGGAAATAACCACAAAATCGGCCTTTTTTGACCGACTGATTTTCGGCTAAGTTTCCCGCAAAAATTCCTGCGAAATCGGTCAATTTTTTCGCAAATTTGCCCCTAAAAATCCCGTGAAATTTGACTTTTTTTAAGCGACCTATCAGAAGCCCTGCATAGTATGGTGCGATCCATCAGATTTGACAATATCGTGGGCAGAAGTCGGTATAAATTTGGAGGTAAACTGGCTTTGTTTATGCGATTTGGCACATGTTTTATGATGAAAGCAAAGCAGGATAAGATGAAATGTTTGTTTTAACTTTATTCTTTTATTTTAAATCTAAATCATAGAGAAATCTGGTCGCCACTTTGGCGACTAAACTTGAATTTTTAGTCGCCAAGGAGAAAATGTTAGTCGCATTGGCGACCGTATCAGTCGCAATTTAGAGCCCTGCTGGTTTAAAAAACCAAGATAATGCTAATCTCCCATGGAATATGTACAGTTCTAATTACATATTAAACTGTGCAGGAAATATAAGATTTCATATTGGAGTAAGTCAAGTACAAAGGAATGCAATAAGCAGATGTAATTCACCTTCTGAGAGTCAGCTTTCGCTTGTAGTGTCACATGACTTTCGGTGTAAACAAACCCCCAAAGTTTGGCATTGGTTTCACCCATGTGTACAAACTTCGAGTCGCTATTTCAAGTTTCCATTTATACAACCGGTTTTTTCCATGATCTATAGTCATTAAAATTTGAATATCGAGTAGCACATCCGATCCCTTCTTACCACCTACTGTATGTGGTCGAACCACAAGTCGCATATTTTGGTGAAAAAACACCTGAAAGTTCCGACCCTAATATGACGCTATATAAACAATGGTTACAACAAAACGATGTGCTTGTGGTACTTGTAGAGACAATTCCCAATACCCTCAGTCTTGGAAAAGAAATTCGAATGGTGATCCAGTTAAGTTTTTCCACTTTCCTGGCGCAGTTAGACAAAATAAGAGATAGCAAAGGTGGATTACTGCATGTCATCGTGGTGACTCATTCATTTGTGCGAAGGATACTTACATTTGCAGTATACACTTTGTTGGTAGAAATGGCCCAACAAATGAGTATCCTGATCCAATATCAGCTGTTGCCAGTAAAGAAAAGGTAAGTCTGTCAGTTTTTCTGTTTATAATACTATTTGTCATTTGAAATATTTCATGCCGTGCATAGGTTATGCGGCTCAAATACATTAATTATTTATACCTTAATTAAAAGTTATGTGAAGAAAATTCTTACTTGGACGAAAACAAAACTATGGTATCAGTGATCATGGACTTTGGTTGAACAGTTTGGACATAATCCTTGTAGATTTGAAGTCTAGAGATATCCACACTCTCTGAAGGTGAGGTAGGGGTACTGCACAGGGACAAATTCATATATAAGGGACTTTGTGAAGTTCCAGTAGTAGCTGCCTCAGGGCTTTTACCTCGTGAACTGATCATGAGATTTGCTTCTGAGTGCCTACAGGGCTGCTTTGAAGAGCTGCTTATGTATTGCTCTGAAATGCTGGAATCTTGGGAAGAGCAAAGTGCTTCTTGTGATGAATCTGCTCAGGGAGACCGCCCCCCCAAAAATAGAAACAACAAAAAAACATTCTGAGCATGGGATCACGCATGAACCGTAAATTACAAGAAAACTTCAGAATGAATGAAGAAATTACTAAAGTTAGATGGAATAAGTTAGGACTAAAATCTTTACAACTACTTACCTGGAAAGGATGTCGTGGAAACTTCACTTATTAGGAAAGGAAAAACCTGACTTGTCCAGAACTTCTCCAGCTTTGCATGGACAATAGACATGAAGCTTGGGTCACAGGATACATTTGTACCTCAACAGTGAAGATTCCCTTGTTGGTCCACACAACAAAGATGCACAAGGTGAGGCTGCTTACAAACATTTGAAGCTGAACTTGAAAGTAGTAATTCAAACTACATTTGAAAGCAAACTTATTTCCATTTTGAATACCACCAATTTCTGGGGTTAAGAAGGCTTGGTTTGGGTGCAGATCCCTGTGTTTCCAAGGTCATTTGTATTCAACCACTCTTACTGGGCAACCATCAGAGCACTGACATTTCTGAATATTGTCCACACTAGCACCAAGGAAAAGCTTGGACGGGGAGATCAAAAAGCCTTTTGGGATGAGCTTTAGCTTGTGAGGAGTGTGGCTTGCAACACGCTGATATGCCTTGTGAGCACTCTCTTCATGTAACAACCCCCACTCCCTGGCACTTTGTGGTTCTCTTTCCTCCTGGGTGGGAGGTGGACATGACTTCACAAGACCACTTTCTTCTACCAACTTTTTGGTATTTTCAGCTGGGGTTTTCTCAGGTGTATTTTTTTAAGTGGCACATTTGTTTGGCAAACTCTCATAGATACTCCTCATCTGGTGGATTGGCACGGACATCTTTTTCAATGTTTTGAGAGTAAACTTGCTTGCATTTTCTCTTTTCATGGGAAGGTTTTTTGCCTTTCTCAATGACAAGATCTTTCACTTCACATGCTTGCCTCTTAGCCCAAAAACATGGGCCACTCGTTACACTATCTTTGCCACGAGTGTTTAACAAATCCTCCACAGCATACATGGCACCTGCAATATGCTTACATCCCCCATCTCGACCGCCTTTACACTTACATCGTGCTTGGAGTACACGGCCGCAGTTCGCACCTCTACCCTCGAGAATAAACCAGAGATCGGAATAGTCTTTTCTGTCGTCCCTCTTTAACTTCATGAAAGGCTTCACTTTGGCTACGTAAACATGGACTCCCTCTTGCTTTAACTGAGTAGTAAGCAAAGATTCCATGTAACCGTCATTGAATAATCTAGAGTCATCATATGACTCATAAGCAGCGATTCTCTGTTTATCGTAATCGGTGGAGTGGTAGATTAAATGGTTAAAAATATCGAACAACCTGAATGGTGGCAAAGAGTTGAAGTCGTTCACGGTCTTCAGGGAAATGGGTCAGGAATTACCATATCAAGAATGATATAAATGTACCTGCATCATTTGTTTCATCTTTTTCAAAGTTTGGGTCAACGGGTAAAACCATTCATTCGACTGCAGAAGCGATTTCCACCAGCGAAGGTTTTAAATATCCGCTCAACAAAACGCCGCGATCCTGTAAATATTTTTTAAGTTCTGTCACATTCATGGGCTGCTGTTCTTCTGCACTGACATTTTGACCCCGATGATCTTCTAGTTTCGGGGAATTAAAGCGGAGAAAATATTTAGCAGAACGGGAACTCGTACTTCGCACAGTATTATATTAGAAGGAGAATAAAAAACGGATGTTCCGTTCAATTTTTAAAGACTTAAATACTGACTTGTGGTTCAACCACGTAGAGTATGTGGTTAAGAACGGATGTTCTATTCGATATTCGAATTTTAAAGACTATTGGTCATGGAAAAAACCGGCTATATAAACAGAAACTTGAAATAGCAACTCAAAGTTCGTACATGTGGATGAAACCAATGTCCAAACTTTGGGAGTTTGTTTACATCGAAAGTCACGTGACACTACAGGCGAAAGCTGACGCTCAGAAGGTGAATTGACTTATTTCATTATCATTTTCATTAATTAGTGTTGTATTATTAACTTCATTTTGAACGCAGTTGATCATAAAGATTAATGGACTATTGAAAAAACCTTTTTTAACCCCGTAATTCGTAAACAAACAACAGTCTTGAATCTATATCACTCTACTAATTAACTTTTTGACCTTCGAACACGATAAGCATGGCAAATATGTGGCCATCATTTTATTGGGTTTCGATTTACTCCAGAATACATATTGTGAGAAAACAAATAAGTTAGCTTTACCCTGAGTGAAACTTTTTGACGAAAATTAAGACCTAAAGTAAATAAAGAAAACTTGTGGTCACCTTTTTAGACTGTTTGAATTAAAGCGATATCGCTTAAACACGTGAAAATATGCATTGCCAGGCTAGAAGCCAAAAACGTAAGCGTAAGTTTACTTTCAATTTAGCGAATTGTTGGGTAACATACCTCCGTTTCGAGACATTTCTTTTTCATTAAAGCATCTTGAAGAAGAGAATAAATTTTAGACGTGGTTTCCTTCTCTACTCCTACATTTTTGTCCAGGAAAACAGCAACTTCTTTACTCAAATCCTCCTCCTCCACTGATTCGTTCGCCATCTTGTCCCTTTGTTCTTTGGAGGAGGACTGGGGTTCACTGAAGCCAGCCAACAACTTCCGGTGCTTGGGATCACTCCCGCGAAAAAGATTATGTTACCACAGCTAGCCCAGGCTCGAAATATGAGCATCGGCGAACATCGGCATTGTTGCGTCACATTCGGAATATAAGGATTTGTATTGGGGAAAAACCTATCGTTTCCGTCACCTGCGAAAATGAAAGGATTTCAATAAAAAAAACAGCTTGCCTTGCATAAAATGTGTGTTACGTCGCTCCTGTGCCGGTCCATGGGCCGATTTATGGCCTTTTTATGCGTTGTACTGTAAACGGTGTTCTTTTTGCCGATGCTCATACTTCGAGCTTGGGCTACCTGTGATATTACGTGACCTTCTTGAGTGAACTAGAGTCGAACACCTTTAATCGAACGGATGCCATTCTATATAATTCTACCCGCGATAACTCGAAACGTGTCTAAACGTGCGACAAGATGAAAAAAAAAACAAAAACAAAAGCAAACAAACAAAAAACAAAAAGCAATGTACAAAAGTCCGAACCACTGAAAAAATAAAACAAGAAAAAACAATCAAAACAGGACTTCTTCGTGTCAACTTTTTGTTTTCAAGTTTTTGTCACTCCAGTTCAAATTCAGTCATGTTCGGTCCATCTCAGTATATTCATCAAGCTTTCCGGCTTAATCCCTTTTTCAAAATATTAATCTATATCTCTTGCTACCCTTGAAGTGAAGTGTGCATGATAGTTGCATTCCTTCCCAATTCATTTGCTTATTTCCTTAGGGCCCGGTTATATTCATTCGAACTCCCGATAACTCCAACTGTTTTCGCTTTCCCTACTGAGAAGGTTCGAGTTATCGGGAGTCGACTGTATTGCACTGCCCGAACATACAAAAAAAGAGATGTTCATATTACACCCCTACCTCCCCAAAACGGCCACCTCCCTACAACAGCCTCTTTCTTTGGTCTCTAAGGAACGGCCATTGTGGAGAGTTTCAACAGTACCAAAAATCGAGAAACCTGCCCCTGGTGGATGGAAGGCTAAACTGAAGCAAATGTTCTCAGAAATCTAGTTAGTGGCAAAATGAGGTGCTAAAATTAAGTTTTTCTCAGAACAAGGACCACTGTGACTGAACGGAACATTGGAAATTAAAGTAAATGATAAAAATCTTAAAATTTCTTGGGTTAAGGCGGCCGTGCCGTTACAATTAGGGGCTATTTCAGAGGTTATTTACGTGGAGGGAGGAAGATCCTAGAAGCCGGAACAACTTTACGTTGGGTTTTACTTTA